CCCCAAAACCCCAAAACCCCAAAACCCCAAAACCCCAAAACCCCAAAACCCCATCTTGGAAATATTTTTGAGGCAAGCTTTGTAAAATGTAGTTCCTATATTTTTCTCTTCTTTTCTTCTTCCAAGGCTGGATGATAGTTAAAAGGAGTAAATAAGTATCCGTTTCCTTTGTAAAACTTATTTTGAAATTCCACCCAGTGCAGTCTTAATGTGTGAAGGAAGCATTCCATTGCATCCATAAGTAGAAGGACGAAAAGAGTCATCGTGGCCCATCCAGGAAACAAAAAGAAAAGTCCAACCGTTTGGTTAAATATTTCTTCCTGAGCTAAACCAAATTTTTTAAGCAATTGCTCGAAAAAGACAAGGGCAAGCTGGCTATGAGCTAAAGATAGAGCCCAGAGTCTGAGGTAAGAAGCAGTATTAGACACTGTTCCAAGAACGAATTCTATTGTTTCAATGAGTTGATGGATAAATATTTCCCCAAAGTCATGACCCTCATCATCTTTGGTTTCCTTCAGAATTATTTTTTCAATATCGATTTCGTCATTCTTAAGATTCGAGGCAGGTCGATTAGTCTCATGTTGGTTAATCCCATTATCTGAAACATCATCTTCTTCTTCATCAAGCCTTTGGAAGCGTTGGCTTCCTCTCCCTTGAAAAGATTGTTGATGATTGTGATGTGATTTCATCTGACATCTCAATACAAAAGGCTTAACTATAAATTAGATTAGGTAAAAATAGCCCTACCTCACAGCATCATTGGGATACAAATAAGTGCTATCACCAAAAACGTGATCATAATAGCTTGCTGGGTGTCTGCAGAGCCTGCTAAGGCTACGTTCACCTCTGTATCTGTTTCGCCGAATTTCAGAAACATGCTAATCATAACAGATATTATTCCTGGAGCTTTCTCAACATTTTTGTCTGGAATCACTTCACCTTTTTCATATCTGATAATATACCAAGGAGTTAGCCATTTGATGATGATTAAAATGTTCATCCAGCCGAAAAGACTCCATAAAAGAGTGATCTGGGGTATGAATTCGAAGAAGAAGTCTAGATATTTCCTGAAGTGGAAAGCATTGAAAGCTTTCATTGTGATTCCTAAGGACATATGGGTTACTCCAAAAATTACAGCCATCTTCATTTTCATGGTATTTATGAAGGTGAGATCATTCTCCGAAATGTACCAGATCGGATCAATTCCAACAGGGTATACTCAATCTTCCTTATGGTCCCAGATTGTAGTTTCGGTTTCTGTAAGGCCTGAGTGGCTTTGCTGATTGTCTGTTCGCTCTGCAAAGCAGGTGCCTCCCCACAAGGGGATGGATGCAAAGTCATTATAACAAACTCCTCAGAAAAATGCAAAAAATCCCATCATTAAAAGGATATATCGAGCTATTGAAAGACTTTCTAATGCTGTATCTTTAAGCTTGCTGTCAAAGAGAGTGAGAAATGCTCCGAATAAGAGGAGCAGGAATCCATGAAACATATCGCCGTACATCACTCCGAAAAGGAAGGGAAAAGTCACTATTGTGAACATAGCTGGATTTACTTCTTTATAATCAGGCACCCCATAAGTGTCCACGATCTTTTGAAAAATGAAAGTAAACTCATTGGTCTTTACGTAGGTTGGTGGGACAAGCCCATGTTCTTCTCTGATCGCAATTTGAGGACTACTTATATTCCGATTCTGAGAAATCTGGCTGACCTTATCTGAAACTTGCTGCTTTTGTGAAGTAGCTCACCAGAAGAGTCCAACTAGAAGATTCGATCCCATCTTTAGTTTATTTAGATTGTTGTATAATGCCTTCTCTTTTACGATAAACCACTTGTATAGCTGAATTGTAGAAGATACAGTATTGTTCATTTTGTTAATTTCGATAAGGTAGTTTCTAATTTCTTCATTAGACGCTCCAATCACGTTTTGAGTATCATTAATCTTGTGGTTGATCTCATCGATCTTCTCTTGAATCCCTCCTGTAGGAATATCGAATATCTCCCCGAGGAAAGAGTCTCAGATCTTGACGATCTTCTCTTTGATTGTATCTCCTTCTTGGAAAATTACAACATAAACGGACTTTTGAATTTCTTTGCCATCATAATCTTTGATGGGATTATCAAAATCTTCGAAATAAGTCAGAGCATTGCCTCTGGTGGCTCTAAAGATTAACTTTTTGAATCTGTATTCCTCCTCCTTACATATAGTTCCAGCAATGTGTCCGACTGCGATACCAGGGCCATCCTGCATTAGTGGAGCATCTGCTCTGTGACGATCATTCAATGATCCATCTGCAGCAATCATCTCTCTAGCATTGAATTGGAGAATCTGTTGCGTCTTCTGAAGAACAGTTTTGTATTCAATAAGAAGAGTTAAGCTATTGTGAATTTCCTTGCTTTTCTTAGTCTGATCCTTCACGAACTGTTCCTTCTCTCAAATATCCTGCTCGATAGACTCAAAGAAGAGCTCGCCTGATTTATTACTCTCTTGGAGATTATTAATGCTCCAGAGAAACTCCTGGACACTTTTGGGCTTGACAATTGAAACATGATGTCTTTTACACTCTTGCTCAATGAGTGTAATTCTCTTATCAGTCTCTTCACATCTTTTGATAAATGGAGCGTATGTGAGGTTGAATACTTGTTCATCTTTGTTAAGATTGATGAAGTGCATGATTCCTATGTCACCAAGTCTATTCATCACTTCCCATGCAGCATCTTTAGGGATGTGAATCTCGTAGAGATCCATATCTTCTGACCTGAATATTCCCATTTTGTATTAATATCAGATAATTTTCAGTTTTTTATGACGCAAATGGGGTTTTGGGGTTTTGGGGTTTTGGGGTTTTGGGGTTTTGGGG